TGCGCACCATGCCACGCCAAGTCACAGCCGGATCATCTGCGCTCCGTCCTAAAAGGTCATTGCGCACGAACCACATGTTGTGCTCATGATACACCGTTTCGCTGTCTGGATCCATCGCCTCAAATGCCACTAGCGAGTAGCCGCGCAAAGAAGCCTCCCGGAAGATTGCATCGGGAGATGCTCCAAAGGTTCCTTCAGAGAGTTTGCCTTCGCAGTCCAGATCAAACTCGAGCGCGAACTGGAAAGGCGGCGGAAAGTCGTAATTCACTTCGATCATGAACATCTTGGGAGAATATCCGGTTTGCAGGATGCTCTGCAGAATCGGCAAATCTATACTGTCGATATCGATCTTGAGACAATCAAAATCCAGAGGTGTCTGGAACCTGTCCAAGACTGCCTTCATGGTGAATGGCTGCGCCTTCTCCTTAACGATGAAAACAGCCTTGCTGCTGTTAACTTCCGCCAGGTTGGCCGAGAGATTTTCGTACCACTGTGGGTCAGCCTCTATCGCGAGACCTCCGTAGCCATCTGCAAAGAGTGGATAAACTGGATCGTGGAAGAACCCCTCCCGGGCCCCTACATTGACTGCGAAGTAATTCCGAGAACCTTTGTCCGGAAGCAGGGCATCAAGCAACATCTTGAAGGACATCTTGGGGATCCGAGGAGGCAAGGGCTTCCAGGATGCATCCTCAGCAGATCTCATGATGGCTTGAACGTCCTCCCAACTGTGCACAACAGCGGATCCTCCCGCCCCCACACCTGCAAAAGGCCATGCCAGCTGCAAGAAATAAAAAAGCATGGTCTGAAAGACGTGGGAATATGAATATACCATGGCTGCGTCAGGCGCAGGGAGTTTAGGGAAGGGGCGTCGGGTGTAGAGGCAGGGTTCAGAGTTGCAAGCTTGCGTTACTATCGGCTAGGCTTGTACTTGGTGCAGATTCCAACGGTACTTCTGGGGGCGTAACTGCAGGATTCCGCAGCAAGACCATATAGTAGCAACGTGGCATCTGCAAAGACTGAACCAAACCTATGCCCAGATTCGAACAGAAAACTACCAAACAGGGAATAGACACCGAGCGCCTCCACTGCCCGACTGTTGACTATAGAGTCCAGGCATCCCACACTTGATTTACAGCTAGAAAACCCTAAGCTGCCAGACCAGAGCAGCTATTCAACCCCTGGGCCTCAACCTTTATTACATGATAGGCCTGTAAATGCCCTGTAAGCTCTCCTCAAGCTCTAGAAACTCAGCCGCCTGAGGAGGGATCCTCGGCCCAGTACTGCTTGCCTGAAAGAAGTTCAAGCGATTCAGGCAAAACAGTCGCCGCTCGTAGGATTAGGGCAGATCTTCTTTTGTTTGTGGGCCCTCTTCCAACTGCATGACAGGTAGAAGCCCTTACCAGGTGTCGGGTTTAGGGTTTAAGGCTTTAGGTAGGGCACTCAAGTATTCAGGGCTCAGAATGTTTAAGTATAGGTGTCAAAGTGTGTAGGGTGACGGGGCCCGTAGGTGAGCATGTATTCCCATTTCAGCATTCTCCACTCAAGTCCACAGGCCCGCGCCATGAGGCCTCAAGTCACTGCCACGACAAATCCAATTCGAGCCGCTAACTTTCTGATCAGTTACACTTACAATGCTTCTAATAGAAATTTGCTCCGGTAACAAAGGCCGGGGAGGCGCAGACAGTTAGGACTTGCCCGCTTTCCTGCCGAGGAACACCAACAGAGGGGCGGGGCATCTCGCCAGGCACTGCGTCATCAGCTTCAATCATGTAGAGCTGGCTTACTGCACAAGGCTGTACTGCAGATGATGCTTCTTCCAGCTTTTGAAAATTCCGTCGCTTCCCTTACTGAGGCTGATCCGTTCCAAGACACTTAATTGCTTGGGCATTGGTACACCGTCAGAGCCACATCTATGCCAAATCCTTTTGGAACAGGCAATGGCTGCGAGCAGAACAGCAGGAAAACATGCAACCACTTTGGAAGATGAGTGACTAGCAATGTCCAGCTTGCAGTGACCAACTCTACACAAGTTCCGAGTCGCAATGTCCGTTGCTGAAGGTTGATACCACTCCACGAACCTATCAAGATGCTCTTGAAAACTGGGTGACCCACTTTCTGCGACAGGCATCATCCTAACTCTTTGCGATCGACAGCCGAGTGGCAGGGCTACCTGTTGTGTCGCGGCCTGCCTGCTAGAATTATTCTTCTCTAGCTCGACCAAACCGCTGTAGAAGCAAAACTCGCAGATCACAACCCGGTGTCCCGGCCCTCAACCAACAACAATCAACTAACCCTAGACCCCAAACCCTTGTACCATAATTAACCCCCCCCTAAACCCTTGGACCATAGTGCGAAGTGACAGAGCCTCTGCCTGTATGACACAGTCTCCAATTCAAGTGCATGAGGACGAAGCCTTGCGCCGAAAGTGAAGGGCAGCACCTTGTCCATCATCATGGGTCCACAGCTCCAGTGGTTGAGCAAAAGCCCTAAACAATTCAATTCCTCAACCCTAGACATCCTAACACCCTGAACCCAAAACCCCAAAAGCCTAAACCCTGAACCCCAAAATCCCCCGAAAGCTGCCAGGACGGGAGCACTTCCAGCTCGCGAGAAACGGAGGACTCATCGCAAAGCCTCTGCGACAGGATCAGCAATATAGGGGCCTTAATAACCAGAATAGCGTTCCTTTGAAGGGTCCCTTAAGGGCTCTATAAGGGATTTAGGGATATTGGGGCCTGAATAATTCGAATAGGGTTTTGGGGCCCACTATATTATCATTATGATAAGAAACCTCACAAGATAGTATAGGTAATTATAGTAAGGCACAGGCAGGTTCGGGCCGAAAAGTCGGTTTCGTGGTTTCGTGCAGACTGCACAACTGAAGCAGAAGTAATGCCAGCAATATTCATAAGTGAGTCAGATGCACATTTTCAGCAGAAAGACTCTTGAAGCCTGGAAACCCAAACCCCGCAATCGTGTCACAACCGGGGTTCTTGATGGTGCAAAACCAAGGATCCTGTGTCTACTCTTCTTTGGCCTTATTCTTACTGATTCATGCAAGCATTGTAGCCGCCATGAACCTCGTCAACATCGCTCATATAGGCTCAATCTCTTCCCCTGCCCACACCGAGGTGTCAAGCCGGACGCCGGCACTCGAGCTCTTTTTGTGGTACTCCCCCCCTGAAAGATGTCTCGTCCGCCTCATCACTGCGCCCCTGTTTCCAAAATTTAGGATCTCACGGCGAAGGCTCATCCTTGATGACACCCACCAAATGCAGCGTAACATCCGAGCACTTGGACAGATATCCTGATTCGACCTTGCGCGATGGTATGCCAGAACGAGTTCCTCGGCCGCAGGCATGCTGCGGTTTGGCAGCATGCAGGTCACATCCTTGAGAGGTTCATTGAACTTCCTCTCCAATTGCGCCTTTGGGATTTGGTTTTAGGAATCCTTGCACGTGGAGGGTGCGGAGCATTAGGGGCTGACAGAAATTGACCTGTAGTGAGCAATCGCGTTTATGAAAGCATAGGAAAACTTGACAATGCCCCAGAAGCCCCAGTTACGCTTAAAGTAGGTTCTGTCACTCCAGAACTATCACTTGTAGGTAGCGGCTACAAGTATGGCAGGCTACTTACCCCATCATGTAGGAACCTGATTAAGAAAACTTGGGTCTTTATTAAGGTTCCTTGTATGAATCCTAATAAAATGGGGTTCTAGGGCCAGGGCTTCTTAATCAGGTTCCTACGTCAGAAACGTCACTGTTTGCTGTAACTGTGGGCTTCTAGGGAGAGCCGACGCAGGCGCTGGAAGAACGGTACTGGACATTATCCAGTGCCAGCACTGAGGCTCGAAAGTTGCAGGGCAGCCCCGAGGGTTTTGCGTGGAAGGGCAACAGGCTAAGGGGGGTTTTGGGGTTTAGGGTTTCAGGGTGTCAGGAAACAGCTGCTGACGTACCGGAGGGTACCGTGATGTAGGCTATGCGATGACTCCTTCCCGCCAAGTACCATGATGCAGCAGAAACGGTACAGGGATGCTAGGAGTGGTTATGTCTCGCAGCAACTCCATCTTCCTTTCTATAAAAACCGATCGTTTAGTCCAGGAAAGGACCGAACCAGTGAAAACTTCGTTTGCACCGCGCAACGGTGCTGCTCACACCAATGGAGAAGCTCAATACTCAACTGAATGTCAACACCTCAGCACTGTTCTGAAAGCCCAGTGGAAACTGCCCTGGAAACTGCTGATTCCGGTTCCACGGACGAGATGTATGGTTGCCGCCCCCGCAGGTGCGAAGCCCCTTTCTGACATATCACAAGAAGGGCAGCAAACACCGCCCAAGAGACTTAAACATCTCCAACTGGCCGGCGGCTTGGACGAAGGTCCATGCATGGTCAATCGAAGCCAATTTCAGGAAGATCATGAGGAAAGAGGCCTTTGGATCACCATAGCTGCTTCCTCTATGAAGACTAGCTGCCCTACGCTGCGAGTCAAATGCTGACGAATCACGGGCCTCTTTCCAGCACTTCGAGCGAGCCTTGTATTAATTCGAAGATACTAAGCCTGCATATGCGTGGATACGCTTCATTCCTTCGCGAAGGACTTTGCCACTCTAGACGGCCGTCGACACCAGCACGAGAGTACACAGACAAGCAGGGGTGCGGCTACACCCTCGCTACTCGGTCTAGCTCGTTCAGTCCACCCTTCCATCGTTCCACCGACATCATGTCACAGTCACACCAACGACGGAGCATTTGATATGGAAAAGAGACAACCATGCCTCTCCTATTTTCATGCACCTGGAGCAGTTTAGACATCGCAAAGACCTAGTCACGGCAGAGATCCTTCTCCTTGGCAAAGTAAGCCAACGAAGCATGAACCAGTCTTGGTATCGCCGGCATTCAGCAACAACTCTGTTTGGACGAGGTCTCTCTAAAGTGCTTGAAGGTTAAACCCGAAACCCCAAAACGCACCACGCGTTAATTGCAGGCTTCTAAGGAAATGTTCAGGGAGATTTCTGCCCAGTGTTCTCTCCTTTGGCGCTCGCTTCGAGGTCGTCAATCTTCTCCTCCGCCATCTTCACCTGAACTAACAAAAAAACCCTAAACCCCCTAGGCATAATCCTTGGTCAGTTTTCAAGCTTGCATGGGGTTCAGGGCTAGGATGAAAGTTCCGATAAACGGGCAGTTTCAGATCCTCTTGCATTGGCAGGCAACCGGCGGCACGGCAGGGTGTATACTACTGAAAACTTGGTTATTGTTTATGGAACTTAACCATAATTCCCAAAATGCCATAATGGGGATATATAGTAAGTGCCGTGGATTCTCGATTGTGGTAACTTAAAGTAGCTTCCCGCGCAACAACCCAGGGGAAAGCAAGAGGTGGACGCAAGACTGAGGGCACCATAGCTGCGGCAGGCCAGACAGTGCAAGGAGATGTCGTGAGTTGAAGATCTAACTTAGGCAATCTAAGGGCCTGAATAGTTAGAAGAGGGTTTTGAAGTAAGTTATACGACAACTACAGGAAGGAACCTCAAAATAGTAGTTGTAAGGATTTGGGCCCCCATATGAGGTTTGAGGCCTGGTCTGTGACAAAGGGGCTGCCACTGAAAAAGTTTGGGGCCCAGACAAGGTTCTTGGTGCATAGATAGGGTTTTGGGATTCGGGTATGAAAGCCGAAGGTATTTGCTTCCGTTAGACAGTAAAAGCACCCAAGAGAAGGGACTGTAATTCAGAACAGCATTCATTTAGACTTTCACATCCGCAGGGACGGGACAACAAGAAAGAGAAGAAAGCAGCCCTTGCCGAAGAAATCGAGCCACCTTGGCCTGCTGATGCTTGATGGCTTGATCCTCTCGTGGGACAGGCGGGACAGGTCGTCAGGGCTTCTGACCAAGCACGAGTCGGGCGGCTGAGGCTGCTGTCAAGATTGCAAGCAATAGCAAAGAGAAAACCTCCTCACGAGGTATATACTTCGCGTATATGCCCTGGCAAGCCACCCAGTGGCCGAGATCGGCAGCAAGCTCATCTGAAATGGTGCGTGAGAGCTGAAAGCTAAGAATCAGTTGCTGCTGATGGGCTCCAGGCCCTAATCCGCAATGTTAAGACATTGACAGTTGCCGGCCCACCCCTGAAGCCCGAATGCAAAAACGGCCAGAATCCGTCAACCCAGAAGCCCGAACCAAAACACCTGAAGCCCAAAACCGCGAAGCCTGAACCCTTGAACCAAGACGCCAATGCCAAAAACGAACTGAACCCCCAAACCCAACACACGAAGCTCCGAATCAAACCCGTAGGCACACCTCGAATGTAGGGGGCCTTAATTGTTAGAATCGGTTTGGGGGGGGGGGGGTATATTATAGGTTAATTAATGAACCCTATTGAAATTGTGAAGGCCCTTGCGGCCCTTACATTACATCCCTCAGCAAACCCCGAGCCGGAAGCTCCTCCTGAAGTTCATCCATGGCGAGTTTGGCCTGGACCTTGCCACACCATGGGGTTTTTAGGGGGCACAGATTTTGAGGATCTTGTTTACAGGTTTTGGGAGTTGTGTATGGTATGGCTCAAGGGTTCTGATGGCTTGTACATAGTGGGGTTGCGGGCTTGGGGTCTTTTTTTGTCACTCGTGCTCGACAAGTCAGACGAGGGTTAGGAAGACTACAAAGCAGCAAAGCGTCCACATTGAAACGCCTTCGAGTTCCTTACATCTGTCTCTAGCAGGTCAAGAAGCGGCCAAACCGGATCTAAGCCCACCTAGGAAGCTGAGGCCCCGGAGACAGTCAAGGTCATGTTTGGCGCCCACATCGCAGGCCATACGTCGGCGTACGAGTACAAAGCTATCCTCTGCGGGACATTACACCTTTCAGGCGCAAAATCGCAGCATAACGACAAACAAGCTTACTTGTACATTTGTTGTTTAGGGTTTGTCAACCTTTTGGAATCAGGAGCTTATTATACTCGAGCCTGGGAAGGGATTGTCGAAACTTCACACCTCACGAGCAGAGGCTTCACCAGCACACTGGCGGCATGCTTTTGCGAGATGTGCTTAAAAGATGATCTAGAGGATACTGGGAAAAACACCTTCCATACGTGTCAGGTGCTTCAGCTGACGGCTGACGGTACTGACGATTTATGAAGCTATCACACACCACTAACCGATGCAGTAGTCAAGTACGCACGACAGGAGGCATTGCCACCACGATAACGTAACACCCGCATTTACAATGCTTTCATGAAGTGTGCTACTCGTAGTCCTCAGACACACTGTAGCAGAGATTCCCAAATGAGTGCATCAAGAACTCGAAACTCTTTCGGAATGGGTTCATCGCACACACCATGCACGTAACCAGCCCCTAGTAGCAGCGTCATCAGAAAATCGGTGAACAAACAGCTCGGCCACATGAGCGCCACGACCTCGCCCAAGGCGAGGGATCGCTGGCCATGCAGGGCCAAAGGTGCTGCTTCGTAGTTTGTTCCCTGATGATCCATGAGCAACAGCTGCTTGGG